GCACCTATGTAAGCCGCCCTGAGCCCGCATTGTGGGGAGGGCGGGGTATAAATTGAATTAAATAAATAAATAAATAAATAAATTTATTCTCAGTCCCTTTCCTAATAATCCCTGACACAGAGTTTGCCTTTTTCGCCGCTGCGGCACACACTGGGTTGATGCTTTCATTGAGCTGTTCACTACGACCCCAAGATCTTTTCCCCTCTCTGTAAGTTCAGACCCCCCTACGGCTGCTCTTCTTCTCTGGCCTTAACCCTGCACTTCCTGACTCCCAGGCAATGACTGCCCAAAGCAAAAAAAATCTTCCTGGGCCAACTGCAGGGCTCCCCGCGTGGGGCTGCATCCAGACCAAATGGTCGCCATGCAACTGCGATGGGTACAGTCATATCATAATGACAAAAACCGAAAGGGGAAATGGGTGCTGTAGAACATCCCTTGTTATTTCCACCCATTAGATCTAGTCTTGCAATCCGGAGCCAGAGAGAATAGATCTGCTCCATCTTCTACATGACGGCCCTTCAGATACTTGAAGGCTGCAGTCATGTCCCCTCTAAGCCTTCTCTTTCCCAGGCTAAACAGACCCAACTCTTTCAGCCTTTCCTCGTAAGACTTGGATTCCAACCCTCTCACCATCCTGGTTGCCCTCTTCTGGACACGCTCGAGCTGGTCAACATCCTTCCTCAAATGTGGTGCCCAAAATGTGGATATCCTGCGCTAAGTTTGGAGTCCCATTGCAAGGGATTTTGGAACACTTTATTTGTACAGGAAAGAAAAGCCAGGGAGCTGCTCCGCTGCAGGCCGACTTGGCCTTCGTCGCAGAGGCCGGATCCACGGCCCACTCCACTGTGTCTCTTGTGTCTTGCAGGCTATTCTTCGAAGCCCAAAATGGACTCCACGGGGCCCCACAGCCAGGAATCCCCCGGGTCTGAAAAGTAAGCTTTGTATTTGCCAGCAAAATGGGTATATCTCTGTGCAAGGCGAACAGCAGCAGCGGCGGCCGGGAGAGGGGGAGGCAGCAGCACACCTCGCCGCCCGCCATCCACTCGCCCTGCCTCCATCTCCTCCTCTCTCAGCAGTCGGGGAATCAGGAAAGGAAAGCCTCTCTCTCATGCGCCGTCCCCCCCCCTCCGCGGAGCTCCGTTTAAAAAGTAGCCCTGATAGCGGCGGAGTAGCCGCACCCCCGCGATCCTGCTTGCTCCTTGCTGCCACACCCTCTCCCACATCGCAGCACCG